CGTAACTCGCAAATAAAACCTTGCCGCGTGCAAAAGTATCTGCCTAAATCAGTCTATCGGAACACTCCCCTGCACTCGTTAACGAGAACACTGAACAACACACCAAATCGTTCCGATAGCACTATCAACAACTAGAGGCTCTTTCTCACTACTTTGGACACACTGTGCACCAAAAGGTCCTGTCGCGGACGCCAGATTAATTGTCTCACCAGTCCCGTTTATTAGGGAGGCGATCGCCGGGCTAATTCCAAGGGCCGAAGTATTGGCCCTCCGAACCGCACCACGAAAGCGTGGACAATTTAGAAGTGGTCCTTTTTGGCGCGCCAGCGGACGCCGGCTGTGGCCCAAAGAACAAGTCAGAGCCGAGAGTCGATAAACCAAACAAATACTATATTCTCAAAAATGGCAGATCGAAAACAATACACAAGAATGCACACTCCACAATAGTTACATACAATACGTCACCAAACAAACAACGTACAACGTACTACACAGTACAATCAACCACACTTGAAACAACAGACACAGACAACAATACGCACTACAATGCAGTCGCATGCATTGAACAACCAAGACACTTAAAGACTAAAGAGATATAAAACCTATTCAGTCCAAAGTCCTTGGAACAAAAGTCTGAATGATACTCTTCCGAGAATCACTCACTCAAAGTCCAGCGTTGTTGTCGTTCCGCGCCCTCGAAGTTTCTCTTCCAGGAAACCTCGCGTCTTCAATTGGCCACTCTCCAAGCTCCAAACTTCTTCGCCCGAACACGTCGGCTTCACTCGCGCAGCTGTCGCCACGCGTCCTCGCTCGATAGCGGTAAACACACACTCTTGCCTGTAGCTCGAGTCGTCACCCCTCAGGTGGAAATCCTCTTCATCTCCTGCTTTGTCTCTACGGACGAAACCTTCGCCGACTACACGGCGGTATACCCTACGCGCTCTGGCGCTAACTTCCGTCTCCTCCTGATCTCTCATCTCGGCTGCTCGGTTAAATACCTTGCGCGCGACATTCCAGACAGTTCTTCTCATTTCGTCGGCGCGATACACAGCGAAAGCTGGGGAGAGAGCGAGACGGTTGGAATGCCCTCCCCGGAGGATGATTCAACTCGGTTTGACCACGCCCCGTTCCTTCTAGAAAAATCGCGGGCTTGCTGGGCCGCCGAAGTGGGGTGAGGAGGTTCGTCTGTGAAGCCACGCTTCCGCGGGGAGAGCGCGCGCCCGGGGAGCCTTGGACGTTTGCTTTCTTTTTTTTTTCTTTTGACCTCGCGGCGTTTCTCCCGCCCGTTATCGCAAGAATTTGGCGGCGCGCCCGTTTTTAGCGCTCGTTCTGTGACAACAAGCATAGCTGTTTGGCGCCTACTGGTGAAAACTAACAAAACAGTTACGGTCTTTGTTGAAACACATCACCTTACACTTTGCACACGAAACTTAGGTGTACCCTCCTGGGCATGCCTTGCAGCGGTTCTGTTTTGCATTCCATGTGGGCCAGTGCTCATTGCTGTCTCTTCTGACATCCCAGGGGACATTTAGGCACACTTTCTTGAATGGTGTGACATTCCGAATCGAAGGGCGCCCTGGTGGTCGTCTGTTGAGCAAGATCAGACTCGTTGCAAGCTCAGAGAGGAAATCTCTCAAGGGTGTAGGCGGCAGTTTGTGCTTTTGGAGAATTCTCTTGTGCATGAACCATGCATTAACAGCTGCTATTTTGAGCGTGTGCCAAAACAAATACATATACCAGTGTTTAGACCTGATAGAAAAGCGATAGGAGAAGCACATTTTGTCTAGAAGATCCACGCCGCCCATTGATCTGTTGTAGGAAGAAATGATCGCTGGACAATCGACAAAAATATGCTTTTTCTCCTTGCTGTCCCACCTTTTGACTGATGTAAGCGGGTCAGCACCAATGCAGTTCGAAAGAAGAGTAACAGTGCGGTTGTCATGCCACTTCACTGCCACCATTGTCTTTTGGTCACATGAAGTGACTGAAGTATCACAGGTGTCCCGACCTCGCCTTTTCGATTTCTCATCTATAAACTTGCTGCAGCTGAGTCTGTTTTCACGAACCGTACCAATATAGGAAATTCTCATTCTTGAAAGCTCCTCTACAAGCTGAGGGCCTGTGAAGAAGTTATCAGCGACAACTAGGTTGTCGTCTCGCTTCGGTAGGCTGGAACACAGCTGGAGCACGACACCAGCTCCCAACCCAAGCTGGTAGCCACCCTGGCTGCCATAAAAACCTTTGTTGCAGCGCTGGTAGACATCGAAATCATAACACAGACCTGATTCCCCAGAACGTGCCCAAAGTTTTAGACCCCATTCACTCTTTTGTTTATTAGGAAAGTACTGACGAATGTAACACCGCCCACAGAAAGGGATCAAGATTTCGTCCACTGCAGATTTTTTTTCTTGGGGCAAGACAACCATGTTGCTGCGCAAAGAACTGAGCCATGGGCGCACTTTCCAGCATTCGTCTTCTTTTACTTTGTCATTGGCCGCTTCATTATCGAAAAAAATGCAGGTGGCTTGTGATCTTTTCAAATCTGTTACGGGACATTACCTGGGCTACTAATTCATATGTACTTTCATTTTCCCAGTAAGCACGAACCCTGTTCATGTTTACAAGTCCCATCCTGAAAAACATGCCCAGAACAGATGTAAGTTCTTTCACGGTGAGGTTTAGAGTGGCTCCATGTTTTTAAAGTAGTACTTATTGCTTTCATCGACGACAGCCTTTAGCATGGATCGAGAAACAAACATGTCAAAGTATTCCACTGCACTCAGCGGCTCTGCAGGTGGCAGCGGAAAGTTGTTCTCGAAACTACCTGCCTCGATATCAAAATCCTTCTTCACCCATGTGTACCACCTTTTCATGTTCTGCAGTATCCGATCTACTGGAGGCGCATCTGTCGAGGTAGCAACCTCTTCCTCAGCTTCTTCTACCTCAGTTTGGATGGCATCTCCTTCATCACTGCTGTCTCCAGACACTTTTTCGCCACTTTTTTCATCAGCGGAAAAATCGCTCTCATTAGGGTTGATAACATCCAGCAGGTTTGCATGAACAAAACGCTTCGGCCTCTCTTTTGGAACTGAATAGAATGTTGAGGTTGAAATTGCAGTATGTCCCTGAAAAATCGTTAAAACAGCAAAATTAGCAAACAAACATCCGTTCACACACTCCACATGAATGCGTGTCACGATATGTAAGACGCATTTCAAGCAGAAAAGCAATGTTGCATATCTGCAACAATGAAAATTGTGGCATTTAGTGCCCACTGTTGCATATGTGCAACACACCACGTGCAAAAAATATTTTCTCGAACAGAGCAAGCAAAAAACTAACTGTTGGGTTCTAGATTACTGTCAAGAGTGTTTCGAACACACATTCAGTGAAAAAAGCAGCGCAGCTTAACTTGTGGGCTTATAAAAAAATATTTACAGTACCTTGATTGCGGAGCTCGACGACGACGTGGATGCTGCCATTTTGCAAACTGCAGATACGACGAATGTGGCCCCCAAGCGGCTGAAACTGGTACTGTGTGGAACGAAGAACCCTCGAAATAGCATAGTATGGACAACTTTTACCAGTGCATCAGGATCCTTGCAATCGGCAGGGCACGGAACTGGGTGTTGCAGATATGCAACAAGGGGCAATAATGGGATATATATATATATATATATATATATATATATATATATATATATAATTAGTTCGAAACTTTGGTGGCATGATAACGTCGCAACTTTCGGAGATCTGTCATGACATCGTGTCCCGCCATGATTATGCCAAAACAAGATGTTTTCTTTTCCGATGTCTCTCGCTCAGAAAAAGTCACGTGTGCTTTTGTACCATTGTACCATATATTTTCGTCTGCCGTGTTTTACGTAAGGTTACTTTGCATCACCAGATACTTGTGGCTTTTGTCTTAGTAAGTGTATTTCTTAACCACAAGGGTACCCTGAAAACATTCGAGAAGCTTAATTTGCATGGGAAGGCGTAAACTACACTGACGCTAAATACGTCTAAATGTTCTGCCGTAGTGCGGCAAAGTACATGCGTTGTTCCAGAACGAAGGAAGGTAATATGCAGGCTTACGAGGAATGATTCATTAGTTTCAAAAAGGCTCCCTCTTCCAAAGGTTTACGCCTACACATATGAAAGATACGTGCAAAAAATACCGATGAGGTGGGAAAAATCACTCATGGTATCCCTGTATATCACCATCCATCTATTTCCTGGAATAACATATGAAGTTTACCGTAGCGCGTAAGACAATTTATTTTATCAGGGTGTTTTAGTAGTTTAACTTTTATATTTTGGGTGCTTCCACTTCAAAGCAATACCGGATAGAATTCTAATGAACCTGAGCTATATGATAACACTCTGAATATCCCCACCATATTTTTCTTCAGAGGAAGCGGACCGTCGCTAGGATGTCGTAGAAATACGACTTTAATGGGATTTTTCCGAGTGAGCGGAACGCGAGATAGAAAATTTTCAATTTGGCTGCATTGTAAGACGATTCATTACAAGACAACCAATAATTTAAAACAGGTACCTTTTTTTCACAACAATCTTTGTGGTTATTTTATCAAGTTGTCTTCTCTTGATTTTTTTCCGGCACCGGTTGCCGAACTCAGTGTATTGTTTGAGTTTGCAAATTGGTTAATAAATTGCTTGAAGGCTTCCGCCTTTTGTGAAATGTACTTTTATTCTGTGTGGCCTGTGCAGTGTGATCACGCACTGGTATTGACTGACGACTCCTAAATTAATGGCTTCCCGTTACAACTTTTTCGTGGAGGTCCTGTGTCATACAGCAATCCAGACTCAGGCCCACAACAGCAACGTTGTCGTCTTCTTCCATTCGGTGCTACTTGAGCGGCTATGCCGTAGGGCTATTTCAGCACCCACTTCATTATTACGGATTGCTATTGCTATTGTTCTCGTTGTTCTTGATTTTGTTGTTGTCGCTATAGAGTGATTTGTTCTTGACATCCCAGGGGTACCGTATTCCGGGAGCTGACGAAGCTGTACAAGACCCACGCCTGCCGCGAACACAACCACATCTTCCCGCTCTTAATTGAGAACTGCGGTTACCGAGAGGACAACGTACCACAACTCGAGGACGTGTCCAACTTCCTCAAAGGTGAGAGATACGTGACTGGTACATACCCTCTTCCACCCTTTTTCTCCTTCCTAATGAACTAATTGGAGGCGTAAACCAACGGGACGCATGAATTTGTACCAACTAGCCCGCCTGTTAACCCTTCTGCTCTCTCTCCTTCTTTTATCTTCGCGTTTACCGAGAACAATATCGGTGCCTAATTTGTTTCTGGCTATAAGCCAGATTAATTTTACTCGCACACTCACGTTTAGAGCAAGCGTACGTAATCTTGACGCTAGTTATCATCTGCCTGCGACAATAGCGTGGGACTGCTGTGAGGTGACATCACAGCTGGTGGTGAGTGAACAGGCTTGGCGGTCATCCCATGATAAGAAAAGGATAGACGCTAGCGTAGCCGTCCGTTCCAACTAATCAGCAGCCCCCCTACAACACTCCACCCCCCTCCTGAAGCAAATGTGGCTGCCCCTGAAAAAAGTGAAGATTATGGTCTATAGTAGGTCTTATTCTTAAGCTATCAAGGTGAAAGCATAGGATGCCTCCTTGAAAAAGAAAAGAGACCATCGTCATCAGCATGAGCGACACGACATGCCAATCATCACGTGGTGATGTCACCTAACGTGAGAAGATGAGATCATCAGATGATGTCGTTGCTCGGTCAATCGTAGGACAGTCCTGGAGGCTGCACATAACAATGTTAGGCGCTGAAAGATAGGGGGTAGGCGGGAAAGAAATTATGGACTGAGAAGGTAAAGAACAAGGTAGCTTCGTATTGAAGTCGTCTTGTACAAATGTGTAGATATAGGTCAATAAAAAAGATGAAGCTCGTTCAGACTGAATCAATAAATGTATTTTGTTTCGCACTCACTCGTACTCAGACTAACGAAATCTTTCCTCCTCTGAACTCACTTGGACACGGAGTCACCAAGACTTTTCTAGAAAGGACTCGCTCGTAGTCGGATTCATAAAACTTTCTCAGACCAGACTATCTCGAACTCATGCTCATGATCAGTTTCGGCAGCCGGACTTGCTCAGATTCAGCAAAATATAACTCAGCCGGTCTTACTCGGCTCAGTTACACGGCTTACTCTGAGTCGGAATGAATCTAGTCACGAATGAGATTACCAACCTTTGCGCTTGAACGACCTTGCGAGTTTTCTTTTCTTTTTGCAAAGATTCTGTGTGACCGAGTCATTTAAAAAAAAGGCTGAAAAAAAAAAAAACGACACGAAAATGAAGAGCGCAGAAGTTTACGGCCCGCCAAACAAACTCCTTCCGATTGCGAACGGCTTGATTCAGATGGAAGGCTGCCCGGCTAACGCTAACAGCGAACGACTCTGTTTTGTGGGCCGTAAACATCTGCGCCTTTTTCTTCTTTGTCCCTATTCCTGCACTTTTTCATGTAACCGTACCATACTGTACATTCGCTAAAGTTTCTGGAGAAGTTCACAATTGGCCTCAGTCGCTTCACTTCTGCTCACAGCGAAGGTTGGTTGAAGGTTGGCCGACTTCGTACAGCGTTCTAGAGGATGAATCACGTGACAATGACGTAACAAGAAAGATAAGAAAACACACCTTGTTTTTGTGTGTTTCCTTGCGTTCGCAAGTCATGCGCAATACACGGTCTGCTTCAAGGAACCTTTTTTTTTCTCAAGCTTACTCAATGTTCATGACGGTGACTGCAGTTGGTTGTTGGTGCAGGCAGGTTCAGTTAGCAGCACTGGTTTCATCCCCATTCCTAATGTGTTTTAGTCCACTGCAAGACCAATACCTGGTCCCGGTGATCTAAAGTTTAACTTATACTGGGGCTAGCCGATTCCAATTTTATCTCTGGATCTTCCTAAATTCGTCGCTGCATGTTACTCTCTGCCTTCCTCGAATGCGTGACCCATCCCTTGGCAACCATATTGTTATCTTACTGCCCACCGTTTCTCTATTCTACGCATAAACTGATCACCCGAGATCCATTTCATTTCTTTTTGTAAACTAAGACATCGGCGTTCCCTCCTTGTTCCCAGGCTCATTCGGCCGTCCTCCGATCTCATGGAATGCATATAATTTCCACTTTCCATGGTACGCTGCGTGAGCCTCAACTCTTTGTCTGTTGCTTTGTTACCTTATGTTTCAGCCCCACACCTGTAAGAACTGGCAGCATGCAGTGATTGTATACCATTCCCTTTATTATCAGCGAAATATTTCTAGAGAGTATTTCGGCGGGCATGACGAATACTCTTCAGATCATTCTTATTCTGCACTGGATTTTCTTTTATCGATTAGGCTTCACTGTTCGTACTTACCCTGTGTGTATATGTTATTTTATACATTCCTATGTATGGTCTGTAATCATCAACGCTTCCTCCTTTCCCAGGCTATTCTGCACTTTCTCGCTTTTACCATATTCATGCCCCGCCGCGGTGGTCAATTGGCTAAGGTACTCGGCTGCTGACCCGCACGTCGCGGTATCGAATCACGGCTGCGGCGGCTGCATTTTCGATTGAGGCGGAAATGTTGTTGACCTATGTACTCAGATTTGGGTGCACGTTAAAGGACCCCAGGTGGTCGAAATTTCTGGAGCCCTTCACTACGGTGTCTCTCATAATGATACGGGGGTTTTGGGACGGTAAAACCCCACATATCAATAAATTAATCATATTCATTCCTATGTCTACGTTCGTACTTTCTTGGTTTAATACCGCTGGTACGGAAATACAGTACTTTAGTAGTAGGTGCGTGGCTGCTTCATTCTGGAGAATGTATGTTGGTCACTATACCGTTACACGTTTCTGTAACTCTCGAGCAATCCTACGCAGTTACACGTTGCAGGATCATGGTAGATTTATCGCGGCACGGTAACACCGTTGCGAGAACGGTAAGGTACTACTACCTCCCAAGAGAAAAAAAGTTAACTTTTCCACACTGCAGCCAGCCGATCGCCTCCCTAACCACAGGAGAATGCGAGTTATACTAACTTTAGTTACGCCGCTTCCTATCAGCCAAGTGACTTCTGGGCAGGAACTTCCGCCCTCGTGCTTACTTCTGGTTTCAACTCCAGCGCTTAACATCACCTGCCAGGATGATGGCAGGTTGTTTTTAATTTCCGCCATGCTGATTTTAATTTGTCCAACGTGTAATTCTGCTACGCACCGACGGTAAAACGTTCAGTTACGGTGGACGGAAGGAAGCTTTATCAAAGCTTCCTTCCGCTTTGATAAAGTTAGCACCACTCATCATTTAAAAAATAACTACTTCAGCCTTTAGAGCTCGCCTAAACGCTCAAATTTTTCCTAATATTGCGTTGATTTAGCTAAAATAATGTGGATAGTGTGCGTGCGTGTGTGCGTGTAATAAAATAATTGATTGGTTTTGACGTCCCTAAAGAATGATGTGAACATAAAAGACGCTATAGTGAAATGCTCCGAAAATTACGACCACATGGAGTTCCTTAACATGCGCCTAAATCTAAGCACACGACCTCGAGCAGTTTCGCCCTTCAACGAAAATGTGGTCGCCGTGGTCGGGATTCAATTCCGCCACCTGCGGGTCAGCAGTCGACCACCATAGGCACTAGACTACTGTCGCCGATGTCTGCGTGTGCGTCGGCGTGGACGTGTTTATGTGATATACACTAAGCGGACATAGTGATGTGGAGGGCAAGATAGCCCAAAACACCTTCCTATATTGCAGTTTACCAAAGTCACTGAAATTCCACGAGAACAGAGCATCATCCAGCTCAAGCTTAGCAACGACCTAGAAGCGATACACAAAAAACCTGCATCACCTACCTAAAACCTGAAAATGAAGTGGAAGCAGCCAAATCAGTCTTCAGAACTGTCCAGCTGCGTTGTTTCAAGGCTCGTGTGGCTTATTGGAAGCTTTGCCTTTTTTTTGCCTCGTCTACCATAAGTGCATTAATTAATCACTGTCCTGGCACTGATGAAGTTTGCGCTATTTTCGAGTTTCCAAAAAAAGTTCAACGGGCCTTTTGTGCAAAAATAAAAAGAAAACGAACAAATCATAAGGTCCGCTCTTTTCCCCTCCCACGCTTGGTCGTTTTGGTTTTGTAGAGCCTGTATTCATATTGGGAAACAGATGGCAAGCAGCCAAAGCTCTTACAAGCCGAGTGATTCGTGAAGAAATGCTCATGATACTACGCCACCTCAGAGCTCAGCCACTGCCCGATTTTGCACAAAAAACTTTCGCGGAGTTGTTAGAAATGCTCAACTTCTACGGCAATTTATTTTTGTTTTGGCAGCAATAAATACGAAGCTGTCTTGGTGCTGCTGCCGTGCAGTTGACAGGAGTTTCGCTCGTAATGATTTCAACTGGCATCTGCTGTTAAGGGATGTCGGTGAGAAGCAATCAGCGCAGATCGATTTTCTTGTTTTGTTTAAGTCTCTATACACACATCTCTGTTCAATCAGTATGCCCAAACTATGTTCCTTTCATAGATAACTGAACATCGCTGCTCACCATAAACGTCTGTATAATTTATTGTCCACCAAGAAGTTTTTTAAAAGGTGTTTGGCTTTTGCTGAAAATTTTTTTACTGCCAATAAAATTCTTGTCGTAGCCGAGGGAAAGGCGTTCAAGCCACCATCTGCAAATATTTAAATTTTGCATTTGTGCATACACACGGAAGCATGAAAACACACGCATAAATTTATATGAAGGGTGATTGAGCCCTCTCCCCGAAAAAAAATTTGCGTGACGCCCCTAGGCATCATGTAGACAGACAAGTGCAACCTTTTACCGAGGACATCATTTGGAACATTGGTATCATTGGGAACTGATAATTCAGCATGTATACACAGTCTATTACGATGGTAGCACTGACCAACGCCAATCAGAGTCAAAGCTGTGAATGCGGGTAAGTTCGCTTCGGCCAATGCACACAGGCTTTTAGATTGGCCGGAATTCCTTTGTATAGATAATTGATTCCGGAATGCCAGCTTATCGTACGACGGCACGGTATCTTGTGACGCTTCTTATAAACACAATAGAACAGTAACGTTTCAAATTGAAATGGCTGCGGGAAAAATAAAAAGACAATTTCACAAGCGAGGGTACAGCCTCAAGGGCAATCCTTGTCTTGTACTCTCACATGTGAACGTATATATATATATATATATATATATATATATATATATATATATATATATATATATATATATATATATATATATATATATATATATATATATATATATATATATATATATATATTGCCGTCCAACCTCTTGATTTAAAGAATATCGAACAGACAGGCCAAGAAAGCGTTTCGACAGACACGTTTTTTTCACGTTCGCTTCGCGTCTTTGAAGAAAAAGCCCTCATTCAGTATTAGGTGGCTATCACTAATTCACAGCCGCAGAGAAGTAATGTTTCCCAAATAGGAATCCTATGCCTGCCTAGTTAATATCGGGCTAGCCAGATGATCTTTCACGTTTGCGCTAACTGCTACCATATCCTACATGCTGCTAATGCAACAAAATGTGCGGGCGTACCAAAGATATTAACGTGGTTATAAGGTACGGGAACCTTACGGGCACTTAGCTGTCCCACGATGCTACCTGACAACACCAATGGAGGTGAAAGGCGGCATCGATAACGCATATTGGTCGTACTTTCGGCTAAATCTCGTGCAATATTTTTTTTTCTTTCAGACTGCACAGGTTTCACGCTGCGACCAGTGGCTGGACTACTTTCCTCCAGAGACTTTCTGGCTGGCCTGGCCTTCCGTGTTTTTCACTCGACTCAGTACATCCGGCATCCTTCTCAACCCCTGTACACACCCGAACCGTAAGTGCTGCGGCTGGGATGAAAAGCTCAATCTTTAGTGGCACCATTAACCAGTGGTCGAGCATTTGCTTACGGGTTTCCTAGTATACAGGAAATTTATTGTAGATCAAAGGTGGGCATAGTGGTTAGTGAACCACGACGGTGAACAGGGAACAAGCACAATTAATAAAACGGCGAATGTTGTGACAGGTTACGAAACCTTTATTGACTGCGAAGCTGGCCGATATTCAAGTTCTCACAAAGGGCTTTAGCTAGGTTTTAGCAGGCATCACTAGGTTTTGTTTCGCGCAACAAACTCCGTGCTCAGAAACTCTCATGGAAACAGGCAATCCCCATGAAGCGGTACTCTGTCGGTCCCCGCGCTCGATGTTATTCGCCACACGCTGACCAGGCATGAATTCGCGGTAATTTTTCATGTGGTCCGTTCATGGCACTCCAAATATTGGCGCTTTCTCGTGCCGGATACATTAAACAGCAGCCTCTGCGGCTTGATGACTTCGAGCATTTTCCAGCTTGACAGGACGTAGTCGCTCTTTGTTCGCGGCTTATAGGGGCGAAGCTCTTTAGGTTGGGGATCGTTCCCTCGTTGTAGCAAGTACAAGAATTAGCCCGCATAACGAAAATTGACACAAAATTGTGCGTCATGGCATGTTTAAAATTACGCCTTACGAATAAAGTGCTTGTTGCTAATGGTTTGTAGCTCATGTCGCATTCAATTACACCACATAGCTCATAGCTGTGCATTATTCAGAAGTAGACTGATTGACTGCTTCTTAGAGCGCAATTCTGAGCAGTAGCACAAATAACTACTCGGATGGCGACAAATAACGACGGGAAAAAGTAGTTCCGAGTAGGCGCAGTGGGGTTGTTATAGCGCGAACTTCGCGCAATTTTAAAAAAGACTTACCGATATTCGAAAAACCTGAGCCATGTACTTGACCAATAATGCTCGGAAAGAAGCAAGTGCCATTAGGTGGTAGTGCCAATAAAAAGAAAAGTCGCAGCTTTTCCGCTAAAGCGAAGCAATGAATGCGATAGCAACAAATTGGAAGGTCACGCACAGAATGGCAAGGAGATTGAAACGTGCCCCGCGTTTCTTATACACAAATGACACACAAAACCTACTCACAGGTACACATAAACGCTAATAAGCGTCTCAGTTGTTACTTCACTGTGGCTGAAAAACGCGCCCTTTTCGCCAACGGAAACTGTGCAACAATTTCAGTGACCTTTGTGCGCCCCGTAACTACAACAGAATCGTTCCAGTGCAAGCCTAATGCCAGCCAAGGCGTATGATAATCCCCACCGGCAGATAAAGGTGCACGAGAGATCATCCAGTAACCCCCTCTTCGCGGGCCAAAGTACACGTGAGAGATAAGAGCAGCCGCACGCTCATCGCGCCATTTTGCTGATAATGCTTAAAACGCAATAGTCCCCCCTGCTCCGAGATGCTCCGCCAACAGCGGTAAGTGGTAGATATGAATAGCTTGCCGTTTGAACGTTGAAGGTACCACTTGGTGGCTCAGTGGTTAGCACCTCGCATTCACGACGCGGATGTGTTCAATTCCGCGCGCCAGAGTCTCTTTTTCGTTTTTTTTCTTTTTGTGCGTTTTCACATATATAGATACGTATACATATACGGTGCATGACGCCGATGTCGGCGGCAAAATCTAGCTGAGAGCGTACTTATAATTGCTATCGCAATAAAATGAAATTTTGCAGCTCTGTCTAGCAGTGCACCGACGATCACGGTGCTAGAAGCCTTGTCAGGGGACTCATGTCACCTCTTGCTTCAGCATTATCACAAACGTGCTTTGACTTGTATTGTAACAGTTGAAAAATTGTCATCTTATATACGATGTAGATGACCGTAGATATATTGCCACTTTATTCCCAGCTGAAGAATTACTAACACCCTACTGAAATGCACAAGCACTAGCGTTTGCACATATGGGCGATGCACACACACCCCAGCACAAAACGTTTTCTATGCGTTTGTATACTTTGGGGGGAATGTTCTTGTGTAGGCACTTCTACAGATCACCCATACCTGATCCCCTAGCCCAATAATGCATATATAGTGCATATCAGACCAGCCTGATATCCCCACATTGCTGTCCCTGTATTAGCAATGCCATATCGCTCTAGTGGCATATCATCCCAGTGCCACCCCAGTGTCATCAATGCCAGACCATCCCAGGGGCATAACACCCCAGCGCCATCCCAGTAACATGAATGCTCTATCATCCTAGTGACATATCATGCCATTGCCATCACAACATCATCACTGTCATATTCCGCAAGCACCATACAAGCATCCTCACTGCCTCAACATCCCATTGATATATCCTAGTATCATCAGTGCACTATCAACCCAGTGCCATATCACTTCAGCGCCATCCCATGTCATCAATACCATATCACTCCAGTGCCATCCCTAGATCCTCGATGCCACATCGCCCTAGTGGCATAACACCCCAGTGCCATCCCGGTATCATAAATGTACTATCACCCGAGGGGCATATGACGCCAGGGCTACGCAGTATCATCAATGTCATGTCACCTCAGTGGCATACCACCCCAGTACTAACCAGGTATCATTGATTTCATACCACCCATTTCTATTCCAGTATCATCAATGCACTATGTCACTCTGGTGCCATATCACGCCAGTGTCATCCCAGTGTCATCGATGTCATATCACCGCAGTGGCACATCACACTATAGCCATATCACCACATTGCTACCCCGCCGTCATCTATGCCATGTGCAATAATATCTGCGGCTTGACGTCCCAAGACCACCATATGAATATGAGAGACGCCGTAGTGGAGGGCTCCGGATATTTCTACCACCTGAGGTTCTTTAACGTGCACTCAAATCTGGGCACACAGGCTTACTGCATTTTCGCCTCTATGAAAAATGTGGCCGCCACAGTTGAGATTTGATCCCACGACCTGTGGGCCAGCAGCCGAGTACCTTAGCCACTAGACCACTACGGCAGGGCATCAATGCAATTTCCCACATCACCCTAGATAAAACACACTTGAAGTTTTAATTACCTTCCATTCGCAGTCAGAGTCATTAATTGGTCCCCGCCATCGGCTTTCGCTACGCAGGGACATCTGCCACGAGCTTCTGGGTCACGCACCGCTGTTCGCAGATCCAAGCTTTGCGAAGTTTTCCCAGGAAATTGGTCTCGCATCCTTGGGTGCCCCGGACGACTACGTTGAAAAGCTGGCCACGGCAAGTACCACATGTTACAAGGGACACAAAAGTGGCTCAACAAAATCATTTGTATAGATAGAATATACTCTGTGAAGTATAATGTCATAAGTTCAGCCCGCATAAGATAATTAATAAACGAGAGCTTTGGGGTCAAAGTTGTGGTCTGGAATTTCGTGCTTAAAATCCGCTACCAACGTCACGATTTCTGAAGTAAAGAGTGGGATTTGGCTGAATTGTAGTTCATTATTAAACTGCTCAGCGAAAAAAAAATTGTGTCAACGAACACAGCGCTGGTCGTCGTCTCATGTATTCGTTCTGCAAATTATTTTTTTATTGTGCTGAGCAGTTTAATAACGATTTCTAAATGTGCTTCTCGTATTCTGGCGAGATTTGCTGAACAAAGTTTCTTAATACTTGGTAATTGATTCAGAGATCGATTTAGTAGAGGCACCGTCAAAGTCTATCGCGGCATAGCGTTCTGTGAATAAATATCAAACTGACGTCGCCACCAGATTTTCTCTTAGCCCGTTCTCTCTTTTAATGGCACTAAGCGTAGTGGTAATAGAATTATGAAAGAGCACGATACCATTACTAGGAGAATTGTTTTTTGTTTTCTGTTTTTTTAGTGTCTCATAAATGACGTACATAGTGACAGAAAACGTTTGTTCTTCTCAAGGTCATGGGTTCGATGTCCACCCCACAGTGCATCATTTCTGATACATGTCCTCCAAATAAGGCAGTGTGATTTCAAGGACACAAATGAAGCTCACTGCTACCTTTTAATGTGCCTTTTTTGCGTACTTCGGCCGCGATATGTTATCGAATATGGCGCTACTCGCATTACGAAACTAAAAAGGAAACGGAAAAGTATAACACAGTACCCAGAAAACTAAAAGCGACAGAATAGTTTATTGCATTATAACAGCAGACAGCATAAACTACGGTTGTAGTATGAACTAAGTCTGGGCTTCGTGAGAAATGCGTAACAAATTTAACAAAACCCTGGGATAAAATTCATCACCTGATCCCTGTAGATGTCTATTGGCGGCTATGAAATATGTGGTATGCTCATTTTTACACACATATAGGTACAGCCACGAACACTCACATACAAACGAACAAAAAAAAACTTTCCTAATGTTTCCTTAAAATCAGTCCACAAGAACACCGACACCGCTTTCGTGCTGCGCATCCCACAACCACAGCCTTGCCACAGACCGAGAAAGGACCGTACACCCGTGCTCAAGCCATGTTGCAAATGAGCTGCTCCCTTCAAAATGTGTCATTTGCGTCGTAACGGGCACATGCAATCGCAGAGGGCGTATTCGAAGTCCTTCCACGTATTATATGTGGTGTACGTAAGCGAGTTCGACTGTCCGATCTTGTGCTGGATGTATTTTGTATTCACCTATTCCATGCTTGAAAACAGCGGTAGGCATGTAGTAATAGTAGTAAGGCGCTTGTGGCGACATCATGTTGAGTAGGCTCCGCCATGCCCCAAGCTCGCCACTGTCCTCTATGACCACGTGATAACCTGCACAGCGGCTGTGAAGGTACCTCCGAGCACAGTGCATATGGGAGTTTCTCGCGTGTACAGAAGGAAGAACAGCTTGATTTTGGTGCGGGTCTTTACTTTTCGTCGAATTATCACAAAACATGCTCTTCTATCAGCATTTACGAACTACGTTAGAATACATAGCAGGCAGCTGGAGCAGTGTGCCAGCCGCGCCTTCACCAACATGCGCGCAACTTCTTCACACCGTTTTTACCAAGGCTCTGTGTTGCGTGGCGTTGTATAGTGCCTCGAAGTGCACCAGTCATCTGGGGCGTGCACGTGCGCGCGCATTGGCTGACCAGACAGAAAAGGCTCAAAACAGTGGGTAGTCTTTAGGCTTGCTCGTCTTTTTTTGCCTGCTAACGATAAGAATATTGGCTATGAAATGCACTAAAACAGAAATTCACTGTAGCCAAAAGTGAACCATGGCACCAGCCGGAAATTCGCTTAGCTAGGCGCACACACAGCAGCCACCAACTGCAACCCCGTCCATCTGCGTCGTGGGTGAGAAAAGGTCTCATGACCGGAAATGAAATTGGGATGTGGGTCGATCGATAACGGGAAGGAAGAAAACCAGACACGATAATGGCGTTGCGTGTAAGAGAAACAAGTGTATACTTAAGGGCTCGTTTTTCGTGTTTACACATTATTAATGAGATCTAACAGACAGTAATGCCAAGGAAGGTATAGGGGAAGTTATTAGGCCAATTGTAATGTAAATGAGAAGAAAGAAAAGTGGGTGAAAAGATAACTTGCCGTGACGTCAAACAGGCTCATAAAGAGTGTGCCACACTCGCCGCCATGGCTACTAGTGGCGCTGACTTACACTCCCACGTTTAAATTGACATAGACACCCGATAAAGTGGCTGGGAGGATAACTGTCGTGGTAGCTCAGTGGTAGAGCATCGAACGCGTTATTCGAAGGTCGCAGGTTTGGAACCTGCCCACGGCAAGTTATCTTTTCACCCACTTTTCTTTCTTCTTATTTACATTACAATTGGCCTAATAACTTCCCCTATACCTTCCTTGGCATTATTGTCTGTTAGATCTCATATATATATATATATATATATATATATATATATATATATATATATATATATATATATATATATATAGAGAGAGAGAGAGAGAGAGAGAGAGAGAGAGAGAGAGAGACATAGCAGCAGCGTGGTCGGTGAGTTCGATACCGAGCGCTGGGTATATGTATTTCACTTACACGTCTTACCTCGTATCCTCTGTTTTTTAAAGCCTATAGATATTTGCGTTGCCATATCCTTAATGATTAGACTAGCTTGATCTACAGGGTGGCAAATGCCTGTGGCGTCCTCGACTGAGGGCAGCCAGCCCATGGGCCTTGCTGACCAACCTAGCTCCGCACCACAAAATACTTTCCGTTAATAGATGATTATGGGCGACGATCCTTGGGTTCTCGGCTTATCGGCGTGTCAAGCCGTCGTCACGATTCATCAGACAGAGGTTGGCGCCACGAAAATCGACTAAATCCTACATGTGCCAAGGAGCCACTCCATTCGTATCAAGAGTTAGTCGTTGCTGCCTATGACATTGCGTTTGGCTTAGTAGCGGTGTCAGAATGGTTCAAAAAAAAAAAATCTGAGTGTTCGAATATTTCATCTGAAAGCAGAGGCTCAAACGTGCATCTCTACGGCATAGCCGTCTATTTAAAACACCACGCACTTCTTGAAACATATCTGCAAAGTGATTGTGTGTTAGGCGACCGGTGGCGAGTAAAGCATCGAATAGCGAAGATCTTGCTGCGCGATACACCGGTTTATTGATTGATGTGCCGGTTTTAACGTTCCAAAACCACCATATGATTATGAGGGGCACCGAAGTGGAGGGCTCCGGAAAATTCGACCACCTGGGATTAACGTGCGCCCAAATCTGAGCACACGGGTCTACAACATTTGCACCTCCATCGGAAATGCAGCCGCCGCAGCCGGGTTTGTATCCCGCGACCCGCGGGTCAGCAGCCGAGTACCTTAGCCACTAGACCACCGCGGCGGGGCACGCGATGCACCGGTGCATTCTGCATGACTCGACCCTCTGCATGTTTCAGGATAGTGAAGTTGACACGAGCTTCTCTCCTGGCCACGATTTCTTGAAGCATTCCAGGTTCCCCCTCGCGCGTAAGTTGAGGCTCATGCGTGTGACTGTATTGCTTCAATATCGAAATGCGGCTCCGGCTACTGAGAATCAATGCCACAGCGAGTTTTTTTATTCCTTTTCTTTCGTGGCTTTACGCGTGCTGTAATATACACGAGCCGCTCGGATTGTGCGGAAGCCAGACGTAGCCGAAGGCTCGCACATGACTTCCACAGCCTTCCAAGTACACAGTGCAGGCATTGCGGGCAATACGCTTGGCCATGGGAATGGTAATGTGCTGGACCTCACAGCGACGGGGTCACTGTTAGATCCAACCGGATAATTTTTATCGTGAATTGCGTATCGGTATTTGCCCGCCAGTGATCGGCCGCTACGCAGCGCTCGCTGTTGCCATGGGCCGTGTTTGTTGAGCCTTCACGTGTGCAAGCAGCAATGTGGAAGTAAGCGATGCCTCGGCTCTCATATCCTGCAGAAGCACAGGTTCAAGCGCGAGGAATGCGAAGCGGCGTCGAAAACTCGTTTCTTTCGTTCTCTTCTTCTGTACTGCATCAATTTTCCCTCCTTCTTTTCATTCTACAACGCACCAGCATCGTTTTCGAAGCGAAACGTGGGAAAAGATGTCTTCAAGAAAGATATATGTAAAGTCTGCAAGAGCGTGCCGCCTCATTGCTTATCCACCTCACCTCTCAGTTCTTTCACTTGCACACGTGTTATCATTGCTACTTCTTTGTTTAATCCGAAGAAAAAAAAGGCGTTCCGGAGCCCGTTTTTACGCCAAATATGGACCCATGTGTGTACATGCTTGACCTGATATTTTAATCTATCTATCTATCTATCTATCTATCTATCTATCTATCTATCTATCTATCTATCTATCTATCTATCTATCTATCTATCTATCTATCTATCTATCTATCTATCTATCTATCTATCTATCTATCTATCTATCTATCTATCTATCTATCTATCTATCTATCTATCTATCTATCTATCTATCTATCTATCTATCTATCTATCTTCTTTCTTTATGTGTTTCTTTCTTTATGTGTTTCTTTCTTTATGTGTTTCTTTCTGTCATATTGCGGAATGCTTCTACCCAACGGTTTTGTTCTTTCATACCGATTTGCTGAACCTTGCGCTTTGTGCTTACCACCACTACGCTTCAGTTTCTACAGGCAACATGAATGTCCATGCGCTCATGCCCAGGCAACAATGTGGCAATGCGTGAATAGTTGTTGTTGTTCTCCTATTGTTAGTGGCGCATACTCACTGTGTGGGATTGGCCAAGAATCGAGTGGTTTCAAAATTTGCTGTTCAGATTTGGAATGATGGAGGT